AACTGGCTGACTCGTGTGATGGAAATGAAGATCTAACAATTGACATCCTAATTGGAGCAGATCACTACTGGCAATTCACTAATGGAGATGTAAGAATAGGAAAATCAGGACCTGTAGCCATGAAAACAAAACTCGGCTGGATCCTTTCAGGGCCAACTACATGTAAGTCTGAGTGTATTGAAGGAGAAGACAACGTGAACTTGATATCCACACATGTACTCAAGGTAGAAACAAGTACCCTTAACCAGATTCAAGTAGACAGGCATCCACATCCTTCATGTGCACAATTCTGGGACATGGAAATGATCGGTACGTGTGCCAGAGAAGAAAACAAACAAGATGACAARGAACTGTCMATAGATACTGAATTCAWTGAWGGAATCTATCAAGTAAAACTACCATTCATCGCAGAACATTCTACGATCCCCGACAATTACAGTACATCATTCAAGCGACTCCATTCACTACATAAGCGTCTTCAAAAGAATCCAGACATTCTAAAACAATATGATGAAGTTATCAAAGATCAGATTGAAAAGGGAGTAGTGGAAAGAGTGACTGACTCAAGTGATGTAGAAGTAGGAAAAGTTCACTATTTACCTCACCGAGAAGTGATACGTACTGATCGATCGACTACTAAACTTCGAGTGGTGTATGACGCTTCCAGCAAAAGCCCCCAAAATGTTGGACCCAGTCTCAATGAATGTCTCCACACAGGTGAAAGTCTTAATCCATTACTTGTTGACATTCTTCTCAGATTTCGCACTCATCGTATAGCATTAACAGCAGACATCGAAAAGGCCTTTCTGAATATCAGTATTTCACCTGAACATAGAGACTATTTACGATTTTTATGGATAAATAACATTGACGATGATAATCCAAATATTGAAGTTTACCGTTTTACGCGATTGGTCTTCGGGTTGACATCMAGCCMRTATATATTGAATGCTACAATACGTCACCATTTGAATCAATATGTTGATCACGACCCAGAATTCGTCACGGAAGTTATCAATTCATTGTATGTTGATGATTACRCATCAGGATCAGACGACGTCCAAACAGCAGCCAAACTGGCATCCAARGTAAAGCAGCGAATGCAAAGTGGAGGATTCAACATGCGAAAGTTTATGAGTAACTCAAAGGAACTTAATACGGAACTTCATAATAATGAACTCTTTCATGATAGTTGTGTAAACCCTGTAGACGTTACAGAATATCAAATGCTTGGTCTAACATGGAACACTGACACTGACACCTTTGTCATGAAACTTGATAAGGTGACAGAAGAATTAGCTAAAACCACTTCAATCACAAAAAGAGTCGTATTGAGTACAGCTGCTAAATTCTATGATCCATTAGGATTTATATCACCAGTCGTACTTCAGATGAAAATCCTTTTTCAAGAAATTTGCAAGAGAAAACTTGATTGGGATGAACCACTTCCAGAGGATATGATCAAGAACTTTAATTCAATCATTTCAGATWTGAACAAAACATGTGCAATCACTCTCAACAGATGTTGTATTGATCCAAGTATTTCAAGGGAAGAAATCAAGTCTACAMAACTACATGCATTCGGAGATGCATCAGAAAGAGCATATGGTTCAGTTGTCTATGTACGAGTCGAGTATACTTCCAAGATTTGTTGTTATCTTGTAGCCTCCAAAACAAGAATCGCGCCTCAGAATGAACAAACAATACCTCGCTTGGAATTACAAGCAGCTGTAGTGACAGCAAGATTGGCCATGCATACCAAAGAAGTAATACAGGAAGTTCTCCCTATTGATGAGGTTATACTTTGGTCTGATTCATCAGTTGTCCTACACTGGATAATTAATGGAGCTAAAAAACAGAAACAATATGTACAAAACAGAATTAAGGAACTTAATGAATTAACACAACCAATGCAATGGAGATATTGTCCATCACTGGAAAACCCAGCAGATATTGCCTCGAGAGGAGTTTTAGCTTCACAATTGATCAATAATGACAAATGGTTCAAGGGACCTCAATTCTTATCCAAACCACCAGAATCTTGGCCTTCACAAGATGTAATCACAAAACACAAGAGACAAATAGAAGAGATAATTAAGTTTGAAACAGTGGAATCTACCAGTGTCAACATCAACATAGTCAAGAAATCAGAAGTACAACCAGAAGCTGTAATCCCTATAAGTAACTATAGTGACTTTCAACATATTCTTAGAGTAACAGCTTATGTACTACGTTTTATTGCAAATTTACGTCGGAAGAAGTCAAAACAGCCACTTGTCGTCGAGTCTCTCAGTGTTCAAGAATTAAACAATGCAGAAAAGTCGTGGATAAGAACAATGCAGTATTCTATTAAACTGTCGCCTGACAAAACCAAACAGCTCACAACTTCGTTAAACTTGTTTATGGATGAAGACGACATCATTCGTTGTAAAGGAAGATTGAAGAATGCGTCTGTAYCTTACGATACAAGAAACCCTATCCTGTTACCTAGTGATCATTATCTTACGGAACTTATAATTCGCAACTGTCATGACAATGTYATGCATAATGGAGTAAAGGAAACCCTTGCTGAAGTAAGAAAGAAGTTTTGGATAATACGAGGAAGGCAAGTTGTAAAGAAGCATCTTTCAAAATGTGTTACRTGCAAGAGAATACAAGGGCAACCTTATAGAGCAACAGTACCACCTCCACTACCAAGCKTCAGATTGTCAGATGATTATGCCTTTACTAGAATTGKAATTGACTTTGCTGGACCTGTATATGTCAAGGACATTTATAGAGATGGACAATCAAACAAAGCATACATAGTTCTATATACATGTGCTTCAAGTAGAGCAGTCCACTTGGATTTGGTACCTGATTTGAGTGCAGACTCATTTATAAGAAGTCTTAAAAGATTCTTCGGAAGAAGAGGAATACCAGTTTTCATATTGTCAGACAACGGAAAGACTTTCAAGGACAAAAAACTCAAAAAGTTTGTGCTAAGTAAGAATATTGAATGGAAGTACAATGTTGAACGTGCCCCATGGTGGGGAGGTTTCTTTGAAAGGCTAGTACGATCTATCAAAAGACCATTACGGAAACAGTTGAACAATGCAAGACTTAATTATGAAGAATTCCTGACAATATTGATTGAAGTCGAAGGAGTGTTGAACTCCAGACCACTCACATATGTTTATGATGAAATTGACGAAATCCTGACACCATCTCACCTAGTCTTAGGACGACGTCTCATGACACAACCTGGTAAATCACACATATATAGTGATGATTGTGTAGTTGATACACCAAAGGAACTTAACAAAAGAAGTTGTTACTTACAGAAAATACTGGACACATTTTGGCTGAGATGGCAGAAAGAATATTTAACTGAACTCAGAGAACATTATCATTACAAGAATATTAGTAATCAACCAAGTGCAGCAAAAGAAGGAGATATAGTTACTATTTACAAGGACAAATTACCACGACAATCCTGGAAAATGGGAAGAATTGTGAAACTACTGAAAGGAAGAGACGGAATTAACCGTGCTGCAATCGTGAAAACTACTACTAAGGAAGGAAAACCATCACAACTGAGAAGACCATTAACAAGGTTGTATCCGATAGAAGTTCAAGCCAAGAAAATTGAAGAAGATGTTCAGCATATCGAGCAATTACCAGTAAAGTTTGTGGATGAAAGCAAAATTGACATTGTCAACACTTGTTAAAATTCTGAACATTTAAAAACATTGAACGTTTAGTTATTGACTCTCGTCAAGGTGGGGAGTGTGTAAGAAATTGATGATGTAATGCCAATTAGCATATGGTCACGTGTATAGTCACATGAGCAGAGAGCAAAACTCGTGCGTCGTTGAGTAGAGAGAGAGAGAGAGTATTATGTATTTCACTCAGGAAAATTGTTAAAATTTATTCAAATACAAGAAGTTATAACCAAGAAGACTACTGTAAATGTGTAATTGATCATCGCGCTAATCCCTGACATGGCAAATTGATTCACAGAAGTCTTATTTCATTCAAAATTACAACATGGTCCTTCGAGCCGGATCTGGTCGCTAGTCAGATAGCCCAGAAAGTCACAAAGAATTGAATCAAGAAGTAAAATTCTCAACGCGTATCATTCATCGAACNCATAAATTACTTCTTTCACAATATCATTAAATTCTACTAAGTACATTGCTTGTTTGATTATTTTTCATTAAAGGAAATCTTTTTTGCTGTTGTCTTGGTAATATTAATTTCATTAGGGTTCAATATCATTTACTGATTGTGATATACCAAAGGAAGCCCATGTAAACGATCGCTGATCGTCTAGTTATTCATAGCAATGTTAACCGCTCCAGTCCGTTCTGTCGACCATTCAATTCAAGCGCCGTCTATGTTCGTGGAGCAGGAAAGAGTGCTCTGTGAAATGATTCGCGCATGATCAGTTTGGCCAATTTATCTCAAAACTTATTTTTACTGCAATTTCTCCAAGAATTTTAACGGCTTTGAGTTTCAAATTAGTGTTGGAGTTTTTTAAGCCGTTAAGATCGTGTTTTAAACTGTATTTAGTTATAAATTTGAAATTTTACAGCCTGACCCGTCCTTTCCCCTAAACCTGACTTGACAACGAGGGATTACGCTGCCAGACAACGACATTTAAAGTATTTTGCATTGCTAATATCATCGGTAAATTGCTTCTATTCGCTTGTTAGGGAGCACTTTTCGCTTGTTAGCTAATACCATACATGGGATACGTATGACAACCCCTACACCGAAAGTTTAGCTCGTTCTAAAAACGGCAGGTGAGTGCGCTTAGAAAGACTATCTAAGAAAATGAAAACGAAACTTTATCTAAAACTTGCCATACCAATAAGGAGAAACTACATGTTTCTTGTATTTCCGCTGAGCCCTTTTCAGCGTTAGCGCAAAAAACACATGGAATTACCCATGAAGCCAGCCTTATATAATGAAATGTGCTAGCAGTTAGAATTTTCGCAATGAACGCATTTATAAAGGAGAGAGAGATGCATATACTTTAAAATGAATTACAAATAATGCCCAAGATTAAGTCAGCATCCATGCCTTTATTCAATTTATTGCATTTTCAATGTTACCAATACCCATGAATATAATAATATAACTAATACCCACTAACTGAACATGAATACATCACGTGATACCCACTAACTGAACATGAATACATCACGTGATACCCACTAACTGAACATGAATACATCACGTGATACTCACTAACTGAACATGAATACATCACGTGATACCCACTAACTGAACATGACTACATCATGTGAATATGTTGACACTCATTTTTTGTTTGATCATTTATGGACACGCTGCTGAGTCAAGGTTTTGCGAAAGAGTAAAAGATCTCTTTTCCTCTTTATAAGCATGGTGTATGGCATTTCTCTCAATCCCCCCAGCCCTCATAGAGCGCCTTGCGACAGGACACTAAAGAAGCTTGGCACCAGCCTCTCATCGGGTCATAAGCTCCAACAACGATAAAGATGTCCTCATCTTTAAATGGTCGTTTTGCCCAGTCACCAATATCCACCATTGAGAAAGGTGTATCTGGCTTTTGGAAGTGCCTGTTGTGAAGAAACTACAATGACGATCATTGTCAACAATCAAAATGCTATAGTATACCGAATTATTAATCAAAATTAAATTATTACAAAACTCCATTTTGAGTTCAAAGTGGATAATTGCTGTTTCACACCGCAACCGCTTCTCTTGAAAAAACGCAAAAAGCACAAAAAAATTTGGTAAATAAATTATATGCCTACAATAAACATTTTCTCTGAGTTGAGGCTAACCCTGTATTCCCGAAATGCTTATATCTCAGATCTTTTTAAAAGGAATATAGGTTTAGTTTCAATTTGAAACAACGGTAGCATAGCGACATTTTCTCGTGATTTCTTTTATTTCTGTAACGCTTTTGCGCAAAAGAAAATGTTCTCAAACAAATCAACGGTTTTCCGCTTTGAAAATGGAGTATAAAAACGTGCGTTTGAGTCTTGTTTGAAAGACTTACCATGCCGAATCCCAATACTGGTATTCTGTTTTGATCGGTTTCGGTATTTTCATCTCAAATTTTSCYTCAARTGCTCTGTGGACTTCTTCGTCAATGTAGTTTCTTGTCAGTAAGGCGATATCCTTCCATCTTTCTGCACAAGCACCATCATTGTACATGGTATGCATGGCACCATTGGCTCCATGTCCCCTTAAAACGGTAAATTATAAGTTAACTAAACAGCAAACAAATTAATTTTACTAACGAACTAATTTGAAGAAATATTTCAACTCTATCACCTGTGCGCCATAGACATTCCAATACAGTTACTTTGAGAGATAAATTTCTGACCTGCTTTGAAGTTTGTACTGCCTACTTTTACCTTCTCCCACCAAGGATGTTCATAAAGGCCTGCACCTGATAACCGTACAGGTTGTATTAGAAATCATAAAGACCAACAACAAAGTCATGTTTTTAAAAATCCTGGGGAAGTATTTCGATGTACAACTCCAGATCATTGTTGCATGTGTTATTGAGAAAAATGAAATAAAAATAACATTAAATGTTTTGCAGCTTGAAGTTGAATAGCAAAATATACAAGAATATGTCCATCTTAGCAACTGTACAACGTTAATGGGATGTGGTAACGTAAGCTATATGTATGGTCATTGTAGATTAGGGGCAGGGACTGACATGGAGTAGGCGGTGACAAAACAGTAAGCAATAAAACTGACCTTTAAAAGCTGGGATGGATTGAATGGATTGAAACTGTGGTGCTGATTTGATCTTTGAGGCTACATTTCCTTTGATGTTATAAAACGGTTTTGGAGGTGTAGCAACAATTAACTTCTTAGCGACCGCCTTATGTTTCGCTGTCCAAAGAATGTACCTGCCTGAGCCCTTTTTGGAAATAGACATTAGTTACCCTATCGTTGACAGATAGACACTTCCTCCGTAGTTTTGGACTTCTTCATGAAGTTTATGAATTAATGCAGACATCCCCCGTGTGGGCTGACATACTTAGCCGAGAGTGAATATGACAATTTTACAAATTCAATGTAGTGAGTTGGGTTGATGAATTCTGTGATGTCACCTTTATAACCAGACAAGTCAGCAAGATAGTAAGCACCTTCAGAAGACATGTGAGTAAACACAGTGGAATACTCGTTGCTTTTTGCAACGTTCTCTGGTTTCAACAGCAGTCCCACATCCCCCCGGAACTCATGTTTCCAAATTTAGGATTTGCTTTCAGCATGGGATAAGCTATTTTGATGTCTTTCGAATTGTCCGAAGTGAATCTCTTGCTTCGTACAATCTGGTGTTGACAAAACTCCACATCTTATACGGAATTTCAACCTCATCAAGGAAATCTCTAAAACAAATGAAAATAGGATTATTTACTCTGTCGCGCGCGTTGTTTGATTGATGTCATCATGTAATTATCTATAAAATAACTATATATTTCTCTCTTTTGAAAAGTTGTTATTTTCTCTAGAAGATAAAATCCGTATCTCCAGGCGACGGCATGTAATATCCTCTATTTCTAATTATTAAACAGTAAGCGGAGGATACTTTTGAATACAAATCGACGTAGAAGGCTGGTGACGGGAAAAAAGAATAAAAACCTTTCATTGCCGCTTTTTTTCCCCGCTACTTTCTCGGCCGACTTGTACGCTGAGGTAATCAACGTAATACTTACAGCATTATAAAGTGTTTTTTGTAAACTCTCCATGCACCAAGACCTACAACAACAAGTAAAAAAATAACAAAAAATATAATCATGTATAATATGAAAATATGAAAAAGTGAAGTAGTCAAAGTGTAATGCAGTTTGACACACTGAAAAGACAAGAATTTAACGTGCAAAACTGAAAGTGTCATACAGTGTGGTACGCTCAGTAAAGTAGATGTGCTTTTACCTCTCGGGAGATGTAATCCAATAGGTTTGTTCAAAACAAAAGAAGAATAGAATCAAGCCGCCAATGGCAACACAACTCGAAGATTGATTGTGCAGACGAATACAGAAAGATATAATGATGAATCAAA